TGGTTATAACCTGTATTAATCTTTGTTGCTGTACATCATGTTGTTGGTCAGTTGCTGGTCTGTGAATTTACATTTTTAGATTTCTCTGTTTTCTTCCCTCATATTGTTTCTCATGTTGTACTTCTTCATCCTTTTGTATTGTTATTATTTACTCCAAAGAGAATTTCAGTTTCTCATCCTCTCTTACAACATTTCTTCCTCTTTTTTTATTTTTTTATTTACTCCACAGCATTTCCTCTAAGTGTGCTACAGTTCAAGTTGTTGGAGGTTTCTTTGGGAACACCAGAAGGAACAGACTGCCTGCAAGTCGTACATCGAGATGGTGACTTGAGGCCATCGGATATCAGCTCAGTCCTATATTAATTCAGCACACAACCTTTCTCTAGTGTTTATTGGTGTTATCTCATAATAAAAGTGCTATTCAAAACATGTTTTATGGCTGGACGTAACTTTACTTCTTTAACATCAAACCAGACACACACATACAAAAGAGTGACAATCATAATTACACAATTGTTGTCTCAGTCATTTTGTGGTCACTTTTCAGTTCCAGTTTTTGGACAAATATCTGTAACCCAGAGCAGTTTGTACTTAAAGGAGTAACAACTTTCTTAGTGTTTTCATCCTGTTTATTCATTATTTAGGAGCATGCTTTATTTAATGAAACAGCTGCTCCACTATAGCATGTTGAATTAAATTAAATTGAACTGAACTGTGAGAATCAGGGCATAGGACTTCCTACACTCAGACTCAGGCTGAAAGAGCTGCTTTGTGCTAATGAGGGACAGACCAACAAATTGTTCTTTGAATTGTTTTGGAGTTGGGGCAGGCCTAATGCACAAGCAACACTATGTCAACTCATAAATGCTGATTTATAAAAGAGAGAAAGGCATCAGTCTCTGCCCACTTGCTCTTCCTGGCATTCAGGATACACAAGAACGCAGCAGGAAGGCAGTGCCACTGGACTGCTGCACGAGTGAGGGGACGGACCGTGTTGTACAGTAGGTCAGCATGTTTTTGTTATTTTATGGGACTTTTGAATCATTTCTTATTAGGATTCAAAAAGCAAAGGATTAAAAAAAAGAAATGTACAATTATAGCAAAATTTACATACATTGTCAAATGAAACTCTCCAAAATATTACTTTTTCAAAAAGTAAGAAAAACAACTCTGTACTTATCGACTACTTCACATTGCTTTCTGTGTATCCAGTCATGTTTCAGTGATTTCAGTGGCCAAAGGCATTCTAGACATTTCTCAATTTGTAGAACAGCTCATAAATTAAAGTGTAATATTACATCCAGAACTACTCAGAGATGTAAAATAAAAACCAGAAACATGACAAGTGACAAGACGTATTACTGCTCCACCAATCTAAATATTTACTAAATGACAAGGTGCACCTTTAATATAGTTCTCCAATCTACATATACAAAAATTTATGTTATAAATTCTGAAATATATAATTACCAATAATTAAAATATATAACCCATTAATTGAACAAACCAGTTTAAAAAAATACATCTTTACTAATTAAATTAAATGACAAACAACTTTGACAGTGAATAGCACTGAATGCTCATACTAACAAAGTAAACAAAAGAGTCTTCTTCCAGTAAGCGTCCACAACTCGATCGTCCCTTGTGCTTGATTGGCCAATCCTGGATGATATCACCATCAAGTGCAGTGAAAGTTGAACCAGATCCAACTTTTTTTGCCACACAGGGTTGCATCGTTTTGCAGGAGCCCCCTGGGGTGCTGGTGACCGCCCCACACTTTTGAACCTCAATCTGAATGCGGCCCTAGAGCCCCATAAAGATTTGGGCCGGGCCTGGATGTAAACTTAGACTTTCTTCTACACTTTCTCTCAGTCTATGTGTGCAACAGCGTACAGGCAGCAGATCTGAAGTGGAAGCCTATTCAGTAACACAGCTGCGGCTGTGCTCTTTTATATGATCAGTGTTGGTAAATATGCTCTAAATAAAAAAAAGAGGTGCTGGAATATTTTGTGTACCTGGTGGTAATTTGCCAAAAGTTTAGTAAATTTCCACCTTAGAGCCTTGCCAGTCGACCTAAAGCTTATACAGGTTATAGTTAGTAATGGGGGAAAACTCCTGACAGTTGGGATTAAAGACAGTGTAGGTCATTTAGCCACAACTCCACAAAGGACTATCACCAGTTCTGCAGCTCTACAAAGCATAGCATCTTTTAGTTTTGGTTACTTTTGGATTTACAGCACATTACTGTATGGTTGATTGCACTTTCCCGCTCAGTCATATAGACTATACAATGGAATGAGGTCATAGAAATAAAACTCCAGGAAAGGTTCACAAATATAAAAACTGGACTGAAAATTCCAAATACAAAGAGTAATAATTGTCACCTGTTTTACAGACATCTTTTTTTTTAAATCATCGTGGTCTATGGAGAAGATGGTTTTAGGGCCCCAGGGGGATTTTTCATTGCAATACTGTGGTTGGCCACTGGGATAATCTGCCTCAGTGATTGAGTGGTGGTGCCGTATCCAGCTTTCACAATACATCCATGGTTCCTACCCTCTGATGTAACCCATAGGATTTTTTTTTGAAATAGCTTACCTGCAGGTGGGAGGAGATATGCCACAGATAAACTGATAAAAATCACTGTCGGACTGCTAACCCTAACCCCAAAAAACAAACAAACAAACACACACACAAACTTTTATGATGTCAGAATACAATAGTAAAAATTTGGTTAGGTTTATGTAAACACAACTAGGTTTAGGGATGGATTATGGTCTGGGTTAATACAAGTACTTCATTAAGGTTAGAGGGTCTTTATTGTCATAATTATAATAATAACCACATAGTTAAGGTTATAGAATGACCATCACTGTGGTTAAAACAAACAGTGCTGACTATCACTTTGAAGCCGGAAATGAGCAGTGTTCTCTCGTTTCAAGGTCCGGAGTTTTGCTGACCGAGCCACCCCAACCTCCTCCCCACACTGACTTTGTCATTATATAATAATGACCTGCCTCCTTTGCTCCTGTCATAATTACTATGGCCAAAAACATTTTCCAAGGACAGTCTCAAATATCTGCAACATGTTACAAAAGTGTTTTCAACTGAGACTGAATGTACTGGCTCAATAAAAAAGGCTGCTGACTCAAATACATACATTGCTCGTAAAAATAGGCAAAACAAAAACTTTACTGTGTCGCTGATTAAAGATGAGGCAACATAAATAAAAAAGGCTAAACATGCAGGTGCTGTTATAACAGAGGGAGAGAGGAACAGCAAGCTGGAATGCTAGAGCTGGCAAGGAGCAGTGGCAAAGGGGCAGATCTATGTGCTCTTGAGCACTAATGGGAGAACTGGGTGCAGTTGTGCAGGTGGATGTACAATAGATATCAAGTGGTGATAAAAGGTAAGGGCGCACTGAGGAACTCTGCAGGATAGGAAGGCCATTTTCACAGCAGACAGTCATAGTAAGAAAAGCACACGCGCTACTAACAATATTAATGCCAGCTCTGTTCTATTTTAGGTGTGCCAGTAAGAACGTGGCAGTGATCCGAGCAGTAACGGGACGCTGAAGTATTGTTCACACGTTGATGTATTGTTCATACCTCTGCATGTCTAAGTATCTTCTAAGGAAAAAGGCCTATGCCAGTTTTTGAAATGTCAGGCGAGGATAGTGACTGGTAGGGTGACAACA